AAGGATAAAAGAGAAAGGGAAGGAACGGTAAGGGACTGTTTACTGCCGAAATGCCGGTATTATTCCACTGCCCTCGCAAGCTCTGAGTGCTACCCAGAGTGGACAGAACTAAAAAGAAAAATTTTTAACAAAAACAGCCTTGGAAAGCTCTATCTAGTGAACTACTGATATCGATGCAATTGCTCTGTGTGTAATACAATAACTGTCCAAGATACCGTAGGAAGGCAATAGAGAAGCTGAAAAATTCCTTACAGAAAAGAACCCCCCAATGTTATTTACTTTTAAATATACGATGCGTTTCAGGGGCATTAGACTGAGCGCGTGTTTTTGTTTTCCTTAATGTGGTCTCTGAATGTATTTATTAAAATATTTGAAGGAGAGTTCATGTCAAATCTATCCTTCTATAATGCAAACAAAGACGCAGGTCTCGTGGTTACTGTTAGGTTAATTAGGTGATCTTAAAGGGGGCCTATCTTAGAGTAATCCGAGATTTATTCTTATAAATCTGTAGTTCTTTCTGTGCTCAGCATGGCTACTATGCTGCATGGCATACTGTGACATTTTATGGGTGATGGTTTAGCAGAGGTGATCTGAATATTCCATTTGTGACTGGTTTGCTACAGAACAAAAACAAAAAAGGCCTTTGTTACTCTTTTTTTCTATCGGTGAAGGAGGGAAGTCTGACTTTTCATCCCTTTAGAAATTATCCAGTATAAAATCTAGACTATGAATACCAAAAGTGAAGGATCACACCCCAGGCACAGGAAAAGCATGTGTTCATAAAAAACCTGCTTGAATGCAACGTGGTCCTCATTCAGAAGGGGCTTCCACCCCATCACTCCGCTGCTCGCAGGATTTACCACCAGCTCCTCTCTGCCTTCATCTATCAAACGTGGTTTGTAACTGTTCTCCAGAAATATCACCCGTATGTGGAATACAACAATAACAAACGTTTTTATTGCAACAGGTTCGGCAGCATGGAAGGACATCCAGGGTAAGTAACCTCTTATTTCTTGTAGAGTTTGCATTGCTTGAAAATCCTGTTTCTTTCCTTCAGATTGAAAGAATTAAAGATTATGTATCCCTGCTGAATATTGCTACCCCAAAAAAGAGGAAAAAAGACTGTGTCAGCATGTGAAGGCTCTTGTGGAGTCGGTTTGTGGTACCATGTCATAATCCTGGCTAGCGTTAAAAGCAGAGGTGCAGTCTCCCGAGGGTTTATTATAGGGCTGTACAGGTGCCCTCCTGCTCTTAAGCACTCTGAAGCAATTAAGCAGCGTTTCCATTTTAACTCGGCCGGACCGTGCAGCGCCTCCCCGTGCGGAGCCCGGACGGCTCACGTTGTGTCCCATAACCTTGGCTACTCCCCCTCTTTTCTCCAGACGGGATCCAAAGCAAGGATGTGCCTGCTACCTGACGCTAACCAGCTCGCTGGGTTAGCTGTGGCTGCTAACCTCCTGCTAACTCGCTGGGTTAGGCTGGCTGCAGGGTTGGCAGAGGCGGTAGCCCTGGGGTCTCCCAGCGCTCGCCAGCCGGGTCAGCCCACGCTGCAGCCGGGTCGTGCGGGGCGGTCGCGCTGATCCTATGCTGCTAGATCTTTGCGGGCAAGGGAGATCCAAACGTGGGTTTAAAAGCTGTGAATGCATTGAAGAGAATGGGTATCTGAGCTGGGGGGGAGGGGGGCATCTTTTACTGTAGGGGCTTTCGCACCGTCGGTGGTCCCGCGTGGGTGGCGCGGTGGGACCGAGGGGCGGGCAGCAGGTCGGGGTGTAGCTGGAAATGCTACTGGACCTTTTCTGGCTGCAGTAAGGAGCACAGCGCGCTGGTCCTGGTGCTTCGGGACAAGAGACTGGTTTGCCTCCCAAGGGGGAAAAAAAAGCCTGCGGTATTTGGAGGCTGATTAGGTATAGACTGCCCTCCCCGCTTCTGCCAGCCCCGCTCTCACCGGGAGCGTGTCGAGGAGCGGAGCTGTGCGTGTTTGCGTTTCTCCCCTTTTCCTCTCCCTGTTTGTTGATAATCTCTTTCACTGCTTGTGCCAGGATTCTCCCTCTCCCTCTCTTCTTGCCTTACGTTGCGATATTGGTTTTCGAGCCCTTTAAATACGAACTGAAGAATCGCCTCCAGCGTTGCAGTTTTAATGGTGTTCCATAGGTAACTTTCCTCCCCCCGTAGCTCAGCCCTGCGCTGCGTAGATGCCCTTGGCATTTTATTCCAGGGCCGGCCCTAAATGTATGGATTGCTTGTTTTCTGCCAACGTACATTTAGCATACTGATTATGAACCAGAACACAAAAAGCCTGATAGATCAAAAGCATTTTGTATGGGCAGTTGAACAGGAGGTGAATATATAACGCTTTTGTTCATCAATAACTCTTTGGCTTTGACCTGTCTAAGCAAGTCGTGCAATAAGGTGAAACGCCGGTCACAGCGTCTAACAAATATGAAAATGTGTAGTATTAAGCAGGGCAGGGAGCTGCGGCTGCCCCAGTCCCATCGCTTCTCCCCGGGCTGCCCGCGGCGGGCTTCTCCGCTCCCGGAGCTCGTTTTTTTTGGGGGGGTGTTACCCTGCCAGTTTATCCGGGTGGTTAACACCCCCCCCGGGGGCGAGGTATCCCCCCTCCCCTCGGAGAAAGGAGGAGAAAGCAGGGCGAGCCTCTTAAAATAGTTGGGTGGGGATTTAAATAATCCCGGGGCGGGGGGGAGGCGGGGGGGGAGATTAGGGACACAAAGTCGTTTCGAGTTGCACTTGCTGTGAAGACGACACCACCGCAGTGCTAAGAAAGCAGATGTTTAAAAATAGCATCCCCCCCTCCCCCCCCCCGGACCAGGCAGCTGGGAGCTGGAGCCGGGCAAACAAACCGGTACACATCGCTCGGATAAACGCAACACCCCCAAATCTGCCCTCCGCAGTGGCTGGGTGTATCACACCCGCACCATTATTTGTCCTTATGGTGCCTGTTTTAAATAGTGGAGGGAGAAGAGGTTGACCGCAGGACAGCAGCGAGGAGCTGGGTCAGAGACAATTCATGAACTTTTGTACTCCTGTGTGCTGCTGTCGACAAAGTAAAAATAATGAAACTTTGTGATATATTTGTAAATGATTTCGGATGACCTCTCGCCCTGCCCTTCACCATAAACGCTACGGCGGGAGAACCTGGGAGGGTGCGAGGCTGCGGCTCGCAGGGATAATAGCTAGACCAGCATAATGGGATGAAGGTAAATTTGGAAACTCTCTTCTGCCCGAGAGCAACTAACTCCAGCCTTTAATCTCCTCTTTTTTTCACCGATCGCTGTTTCTGTCGTCGGCTGTTTTACTTCTGTTTCGATTTTTTTTTTTGTTAATTCTTTTTTATTTGGGGCGGGGTGGGGATTTCTAATTAGGGAAAATATCTTCAGATTCGTGTTAGCCTAAATAGCTAAAGACTCTTTTCTAAATGATTTTATCTATTATTCTTCTAAATAGCGCAATTTGACCGATAACGTCCGTTTCCCGTAGCGAGGACGTAAACGGCAGAGCATTTAAAGTGAGCAGCAGGTCTTTCTGAGATTTTGGTAGGCGAAATTCGTCGCTATAAATTGGTGGAGAGTCGTATAGCTCTATTGCAGCAATAATAACAAGCGTGAACCTTTTCTGAAATCCCACCTTCCTGCAAATCCGAATTTCAGAACTGAGTCCCAGCAGAATAGTTTGCATTCCTCAGAAGACAGTAAGGACTAAGAGAATTGCAAAGACCTGCTATATTGTAGATGAAAACAGAATGTTATTACGTTGTCTATATATACCCTGTAGAACCGAATTTGTGTGATATTCATATAGTCACAGATTCGATTCTAGGGGAATATATGGTCGATGCAAAAACTTCACCTTTCTTCAAATGGTTAGAAGTTTAAATCCTGGCGGAATCAAAAGGCATGTGCGTGCTGAACACTCAGAAATTGTTAAAAGTTTTGCTGCCTCGCTCTTATTTGCTAGGTTTTAGGACGTCTCAAAATTTCAGTTGTCGCTCAGTCGTAACTCTCACTGACAGACTGTGAATTTGAACAGTTAATCTCACCAGAAGTTACAAATTTTCCGAAAAAATAAAATAATTATCTACCAATCAGTGAATGAATCTTTAAAAAGATACTCGTAAACTAGCTAGATGTGCCAGACGTTAGCAAAATTTTCCTGTCAAGGGTCCAGATCGCATCTAAATATTTACGACAGCAGCAAGAGCGGCATTCGCCTCACTGGAATGTATTTACTTGTGCTCCAGGAATGATATTGATGAATGAAGACCGAATTTATCTCATTAAACCCGTGATATTTTTAACCTAATTACATGCCCTCTCCTGTTCAATAGATTGAACTTTAGTGGTTAAAAGTGAACGGTTTCTTGCCATCCGTATGATTTCACATACATGCGTGTATAGATTTATACATATACGTGCGCGCTTGCGTCTGTGCGCGCACACGTACGCACACATATATATTGAAGCTTGCGAAGTGAACGAGAAGTTACTGATTGCCTAATTTTATTCAGCAGAACTAAATTCTGGTAACTTTTGGATGACCTTTGCGAGACAAAGACAGGACAGATCCATTGTACGTCATATTACCCTCTTCTTTGATGGCTTTTCTTTCCCTCGCCTCCTTATGGGTTTCCTCCCTTTCAGTCCCACTTCAGCTCCTCGCTCCGTATATTTCTTTCGGTGTTTTATTTAAAACGAAGTGACAAGCCCCGGTGGCGACCGCGACTGGTGAATCGGGGCGCGGGGCATCAGCCGGCGGGGCTGAGGGACGCCGGCTCAGACAAAAGGCCGGCCCTACCTGCGGGCCGGGGGGGGGGCCCCCGCCCGAGGGGCGCCCCGCCACCGCCGGCACCG